ATTTTTGGTGCGGCGTTGCCTCATCGGTATGATCAGTTCCTGCTGCTGATCATCGACAGTATTTATGTGGTTCCGAAAGAGGCACTTTATGGCCAACAGGTTTTCCCAAAATCCATCAGCACTGATACTGAGAAAACAAAATGCACAATTTTCGCTGAAACGAATGCATGATGCTCTTGTAAAAGCTTGCAATGTAACTATGAACTGATTAAAGAATTCGAAATTGAATCGTACAGAAGGCATTTTTATTGATGGCGATGGATCGAAAAAGAGCACCGAAAAGGTACAAATTATGAAGAGAACGAACATCAAACAATCGACAGCAATGGCACGTTAATGAACTCTTTGGAGCGTTCTTTCTGCTGATGTCTTCGATGCAGATATCGTAAATGTGAGAAACACCAAATTGCAAACATCGTAACGCAAACAATCGGTACAAGACACAACAAGAAGTCGGGTGGTGACGAGAATTTCGAGGCTGAAAACAATTTTAATGCGACAAATTCTTTCATCTTCCTAGTTGTGATCAACACAACTGTCAGTTCATTTGTTCAATCACTGCAGACAGCAGAAAAGTATTCTCAGCTGAACTATTCCCAACAATTTGAAAAAGCTCACTGAAGACGAGCACGATCGATGACGCAATTGTGGCAACGCATAACGCTATGCCGCATAATTTGGACTGTATAAAACGTTCCTTGTAAGAGTTCCTTGAGAAGCTTCGTGAAATCTTCTGCAAATCCCTCTAAATTGAAACATTCCACACAGTCACTACTCACTGAATCCATCAGCAAGATGTTCTCAAATTTGTAACGCAGAGTATCTGTTTGAAAAACGGCTTCAAATCACGTTTCTTCTGTGAAAAAAAGTGATCATATTCAGTGCCAGATAACGGGTACATTACATAACTCTGTACGATCCGAGGTTTTATTAGAAACATCTGACTGTCATCAGAGGTTTTTTATGATGAGATCAAGTTAGTTCTATGGCAATCACTAACCGCTGGTCTTTCTTTTCCAATTTCATTCGCATTAACATTCATTGCAAGCATTTCGTATTCATCCTGAAAAGTTGTTTATTCGAGGAGAGATTCACCAACAATTTTGTCAATATCCCGTTTGCTCTTCAATTTTACATATATAGTCAACTTCATGATACATTTGTCAAGAACGCTTCGATCACTCGTCGCACGAATGAAACAAACCTGGCATACTCATGGTTCTTTCTGTCAACAAACTGATTTTGGTGAATGAATCAATGATAACTAAACGATTTTTATCATTTGAAATACTCACATTCAGAAAATCCTCTAATTTCCTTTCGTGATGCTGAATGTACTCCGGTGATTCACAGCCATCCACTGCACTGCCGTACAGTTTCAGTGCCTTTGTCAACGACTGATCGTGCAGTTGTCGAAATTCGGCTGATGATAAATTACGGAAACACATTTGCTGCAAACAACCAGTATGTGAGATTATGCAATTTGTCATCAGGAACTCACTGAATCTGGAAAATTTGAAGCAACTTGTTGTTATTGTTTCATTTGTATTTTCCAATTTTCGAAACTGTTAGATGACCACTCTTCATCAGAATTGATCTAACAAAAACTATTTCTTTCCAACGTTGTTTTTTTTTAATTTACAAGAATTTCTCCGATTTTCATCTCTACAAGGTTGCTGCAATGGTGGATCAATATAATACTAACGTTAAAATTAGTTGGAGTTATCTGTAAGAAAGCATCCGTTGACTAATTGATTGATAAGTTTCGCATTTCAAAAAAAANAAAAAAAATGCTCTGCGTTCAAGTTGTGGTTAGGAGAATACACGCAAACGGCTTTAACGATGCAATTATTTGATTTATTCCATAATGAATTATTTGGATTCGCTTGCAAAATGGCATTCATAGGACATAAATTTGCGCAATTGGATGCATTTTAGAGGTGAATGAAGAGAACGATATCAAATAGATGTGTGCCTGATTAGACCAGACACAAAAAATCTTTAATTCTCGAACGTATACGAGATCATACTATTATCAATTTACGATTCATCTTGTTTTCATGTGTCAGCAATTCACGATTCATGTTTTCAAGAAATGCGTATTCAACAATAAAGTACCCGTGCAACGTTAAGTCGGTAGAAGTTTTTCGCCTTCTCAGCAGCCGCATAACACCGCATTTGCATATTGGCCGCAGTTAAGCTCATTGGTAACGGTTGTGTGTCATCATTTATTGCGATTATACAATTCTGCAAAATTGCTGATCATTAAGTGGATAAAGTCCGGATGGAGGGATGCCTTTGATGTGAGATGAAATCCTCGAGTCTTTTTTTCCTCATTTCCTCGAGAGNTCATCATTTATTGCGATTATACAATTCTGCAAAATTGCTGATCATTGAGTGGATAAAGTCCGGATGGAGGGATGACTTTGTGATGTGAGATGAAATCCTCGAGTCTTTTTTTCCTCATTTCCTCGAGAGAATTAATGAAATTGAATTAAATCTCTGCCTACAACGAAGATGAACAACAATAATAACATTGCCAGCGATCACGTGAAATTCAACTTATTTCCATAAAATATTCATCTCATTTGCTTGTGATGAAAGATTGAGGCATCTGCTGAGCTGCAGTGTTAAAATGGAATTTTATGTTCGCTTCCAATGAGTTCAATCTGGTAGAGAGGGATCCTTTTCCATTGCGTTCGTTGAAAGCAACTCCGCAATAAAAGTTTTCTTGCGCACGAAATCAGCTTGCAAATCTTCGATTCCGAGCACATATGAGCAATTCAGTCTCGAACAATTTATGAATGTTCACTGTCCACATCAGTGTCATCATCCGATGTACCGAACGAATCACGGAACAGATTATCAGTCTATACATCGCACTGCACGCAGTTTCAGTTTGTAGATGACAGGAAAGAGTGGAACGCGACATATACACGGCTGTGAAAACATTCATCTGCCTATTTTTATAATACGGTGATAAATTTGTTGAATTTTGCAATTTTCAAGATTCCACTCTTTGAACATATCCTCTTTGGTATAAGGACATTCTGCACAAAATTTTGCTTCACGAAACTGGTGTGAAAGGTGGACGGGTCAAACGATTCCCTTGTCCAGAGCACCACCTGTGTACATACTCTAGATGGCGCAGCCTTTCAACCTGATTTTTTAGCGACAAATTTTCATGGAATTTGTTTTCAGTTAAAGTGACACGATGTTGAAAGGTGAGGCGAACAAATACTGACGATGGAAATTCGTTCATGATATTGGTACACCACTCGGTTTCAAGCAAAACCTTCCGCTGCGACCAGGAATCGAACCGGTGAGGCGGAAAAAAATCCTAACCCAGTGACCTCCCAAACTAATTTTCTGAAGTAAAACTTCACACAGACTGTTTCTAGATCAAAAGGCATATTCTCCTGAACTGGAAGCTGCACTTCGTAGAGTTTTACTTGTCCATGCAAAAATCTATCGCTCTAATGTGCATATGTAGTTGCTTGTTGTCATAATTCTACAGTAAGGTGCTTCTGAATGCGTCGCTTCAGCAGTACGTATGTAGTGCACCTGCAGAAGCGCAAAATGTTGTGATAGCACTCGGAAATGTGTTGTTAATAGATAAGCAAGCAGAACTCACATTAACGTGTTCATAGAACATATCAGGTGTCAGTTCCGTTTTATCGATTTTTTTCGTTTCAATTGTGTTCGGATCGCAAGTTTGTTCGACGAGATTCTTTACTTGCAGCACGAATTCTGGATTGATATCTACAAATCACGCAATAATTAATCAGTTGAATCGACTGCACCGGAAACGAACCGTGCCAATCAATGTGCTTAATACTTTGCCACACGATCACCAACGCACTTCAATAGCATTTGGCCCACTCATCCATGAAAAAATTGTCAATGAAAAATGACTCTGTATCGCACAGACATTGCACAGGATGCGAAGAAATAAATTTTTCGGATGGAATTCCTCAGCAAACTTTTCATTTGTACGTTGGAGGGAAGCGGTAAAATTTCGTGGTTTCGTCTGCTACCAACAAAAACATGTAAGATCGTTATGTGCTAATATTTTGTTTTGTGGGACCGGTGAGAACGCTTGCGAACGGAAATGTATTTGATGAGAATCGAATTGTTCACCAGTTACGGTCTTCAACCCTCTGTAAAGTTAGTGCACTTGAACATCATAACGGCACAGAAATGAAACATCGCAATAAAATATCAAACATCCTAGTAAAGTATCATGAAATTATGAGATCAAATCTATGTTTAATTTGTCTCATACATTGGAACAACTTCATATCGGACCACTTCTTATCGACGCATCTCTGGAGGGAAAAGCTTCCAACCGGAAACGTTGCTTACCCGGATTTTCGACGTATCGAATGCTTGGGAACCAAAATGAATTTCTTGTTGTGCTTAGTTTCATTTGATACAATAACACTGTCTCAGGATAGGACAATAGAATCAAAAACCTTCGACGACAACGGCAGTGCTGACAATTTTATGCGNGGTTACGAATAAATTGAATGGCCATACAATAAAACGGCCTATATCGCAGAACAATTTAAACAAAAAAAAACAAAACAAAATAAACGAACAAAAATTGTAAGCCGAAATAGACGAAGGCACTAACTGAAACCATGTTCAATTCAATATTTGTGCATAAATCAATATTACTGCTTTCAATTTCATCCTCAATTGTGCAAATGAAATCCACAAAAAATATCCATTCGAGTCATCATAAACAAACGATTTACAATGGCCGTTAACAATTCATGACAATGTTAAGACAAAACCGATTGAGTTTTGAATATTTTATCGTTCTGTAAAGATTCGAAAAAACAACGAATTTCCTTTGATGTGATGCTGAGATATTGCACTCTTGAATTGGCAGACAACCCAAATCAATTGCAGAAGGCAGTCTCAGCTGAGATTCAGTATGGCACTAGTGATGAATTAATAGTAAAACTATCTAAAAGCAGACTGTTACCAAGGAAACACAAAATTCAATGAATCCAATGAACTGACAATGAAAAATTGAACGGTACTGAAAACTTCTGTTATATCAGCTCAACCATACCACCAACCGATAATTGCACTCCTAACGTTGAGCAAAAAATCGCGAAAGCATGAGACGCCTTAATTCTATGGCACAAATGCTTATGGCCAACTACAATCAAGAATTAGATTAAATTCAAAGTTTATCAAACAGCCATAATTTCGAGATGATGCATGCGGATTCCAGTTGGACACTTACAAAAGCATTGAATAACAAATCGGAC